CACCATCATTGCCAATGCCCTTCCATAACAATCTGTTAACAGTTATGTCAAAGCAGTGAGGTTGTGCTGTAAAAACTTGCTGCAGTGTGATTCATCCCTTCATTATATAGTTGAGGAAATATTTATGTCGACTGTAGTCTGGTGTGGCAGCTTTCGTAGTTTAAGCAAAGGAAATAGAGTCACTATTTTATAATAAAACTGGGAATTAAAAAAAAAAGACAAAACATAGATGGACATTTCACAATAGAATATAGTTTCAGCAGATTAAAGTTGTTGGGGCTCACATCTTACCTAAAGCTTCAAACTTCCTGTGCTGCACTTTAGCATACAGTATATATTTATATATGTAACTTAAATTCATATTTAACAAGTATAATCCTTAGGATGTTCAGGCCAAAATTTTCAAACTTAGATATTTAAAGTCAGGCTCCTAAATCCTTACCTAAGTAAGGCTGACCTAATTGCTCCTGAGTACTTACTGCTCTAAATGACTTTGTTAGAATGTCCTGTGTCTCCAGTGAGTATTGTTACACTCAATACATATTTTTAATATTTGGTTGTCTTTTACTACATAATAATCATTTCTCTGTATTTAAACAGATACAGCTTGTTGCGACAATTCTTGAATTATAAATACCAACTATTTATTGAGGTGTAATACATAATCCATTGTATATAATGATATGCATGATAGTTGCGAGACTTAATATTTTAACAAAACAAAGGTGTTTATTTAACATGCAATTATTCTATTAGGAAGTGACTATAGCCACAGTAGTTCCATGCTGCCAGCAGGCAAAGCTGTTTGCACTAGCTACCATGAGAGCGGCACTACAGCTTTTCACTTGGATGGACTCCACAGTATCAGAGAGCTGTTTGAATAGAAAAGCTTTCCAAAAAGTTCTCTGGTACATACTGATAGAGTGCAGATAGTACTAGGAATGTTGGTTCTGTTCTTGCTTCAGATAGTAATTTCCTTTAAAGCTTCCTCCCCTTTTGTTACAGCTTTATGTTTTCACATTTTATTATTAAAAGGAGGGGGAGAGAGAGAGGGGAGTCATTATTCAGGAAAGGAAAAGAGGAATCTGCATTGAGCAGCAACAGAGAGTGCCCCATCCCCGTGAGTGACAGCCAGGGTGAGGGGGAAAGGGAAAGAGGCTTAAGAACTGATATCACAGTCCTAGCATCATAGAGTCATTCTGCTGAGTCTAAACCAAGAGATTTATTTTTTGTTTTGTTTTTTAATTCCACCAGAGTGTGTGTGTATAGAAAAAGAAACATATGAGTGTTGTGAGGCTCACCATCTCAGTGCGCCCCCTCGCAGCAAGACCTGGCATTGCTGCATTTTTACCTCAGTTTCCCTACAACAATCTTTGACCCACTGCCACCCTAGAGGTGACTTGGCCCTCCAACCAAGCCAGAATTCCCTGGAGAGAGAGAGGCAGGCTGGCTTACCTGTAAAGGATTCTAGCAGTCTTGCCCAGGAAACTCCTCTTCCTCCTTTTAAGTCCCACACCCTGCACCAGTGGAATTGAGTAGACTAGGGGTTCTCAAACTGGGGTCAGGACCCTTCAGGGGGTCACAAGGTTATTACATGGGGGGTCATGAGCTGTCAGCCTCCACCCCAAACCACACTTTGCCTCCAGCATTTATAATGGTGTTCAATGTATAAACAAGTGTTTTTAATTTATAAGGAGGGGTCACACTCAGAGGCTTGCTGTGAAAGGGGTCACCAGTACAATAGTTTGAGAACCACTGAAGTAGACTAACTCAACAGGGCTGACTGGCCCAAGACCTTCTAGCCCTTAAAGGAGCAGGCCACTCTGTTACAGAGAGCCTTTTTACTTAAAATGAGAGAGGCCCAAACAAAGTGAGGGTTGGCAGAGAGCATAAAGGAGTGTGGACATTCAGCACTGAGTAGAAAAGGCTGCTCCATTATTTGTTAATCAAGTAAATTAGAGTCTCTGAAATAAACACACACACAAAAAAAACTTTAGCTTCTAACTAAGAAAGAAAACACAGGTCAACCTAGTATCTAGTCACAGAGTAAAAACCCAGTATAACTATGCAGGCAGAAGAGTACCAAGAGATTAGTCAAGATGGGACTGCTTACCTTGTGGCCAAATGGCAATGCTACATTTGTGCAAAAATATGTGTAAAGAGAACACTTAAGTTTTAACATTCTCCAACAGACAGCTTCTCACTTTGAGAAGATGATCTCTGTTACTGCATTTGTCTACTGACAGACACTTGAATTCAGCGGAACTACTCACATGTTTTAAAGCATTTGTGTGTTTGCAGAATCAGGGCCCAGAACTCCAGAATTTTATCCAAAATTCTCTGTGAAGGCAGACCCAAGCAGTCCCAACTTTGGGAGATCAAAAAACAGAGCAAAGCTAGAACAATGTTGAGCACTCTGAAAATCCCACCCTGAATATTTTTTTAAGTAATTTCTTGTTTATATTTGCAAAATTCAAGAATAGTATTATTCTGCAAATAAAATAAAATAATAAATAATAAAACAATAATAATAATAGCACCTAGGAGCCCTAGTCATAGAACAAGACTAGGTTGTGTTAACCACTGTACAAGTACTGGACAAATGCTGTTTTTTCCCCTTCATCGTTGCATTTCTAGTGTATGATCGGTTGCATTTTTAGTAAGTGGCTGTTATTCCTGTAATGGGGGATGGGGGTAGTTCAGCGGTTTGAGCGTTGGCCTGCTAAACCCAGGGTTGTGAGTTCAATCCTTGAGGGGGCCATTTAGAGAACTGGGGTAAAAATCTGTCTGGGGATTGGTCCTGCTTTGAGCAGGAGGTTGGACTAGATGACCCCCTGAGGTCCCTTCCAACCCTGATATTCTATGAAATCACTACAGAAATCAAAATTCTCTTGTTTAAAGTATCCATTGCTTCACTTTGTGGGTAATAAAATCAGCTCCTTAAGTCAACATTTCAGATCCAAAGCTTCCTGGTGGTAATAAAACAACAATTATGGAAGCATGTGTCCCCTCCCACACACCTCTTCCACTATTACCTGAACAGATATTCATTTTATTTTGGAGATTAACCATATTTCTTACCACTTTCTGTGATCACAATTTATATTGAAAAGAAACCCTTCTTATTCTCCCCAGCATCTGCTCTACATTTCATTAAAAAATCTTCTTACCCAAGGAAATTGCTGATGCTGATAAAGCAGGAGAAATTAATCACACACCATTCCCTATGATGTCCAGTAAGCATTGTGATCGCTTAGACAATAATTCAGCAAGGCACTTAGTGCGGGCTTAACTTTAAAAGCACATCTCTATTTCAGAAAGTATTTAAGCAGGTGCTTAAATTTAATCAAATGAAGAGCTTTATTCTGGTGACAACCGATTAAGAGATGTTTGTAAAGCTTCTGCTATAGCTGGGAGTGAAATTTCCAAATCTGGATGCTATAATCTATATGCAGGTAACTTCAAAAGTAATTTACGCTGCTAAGAAGACTATAAATTATATACTACCTATGGTTTGTGCTAGATGTGAGTAGCTGACAATTACAACTCCTATATTAAAACTGAAACAATTTCCCCCACTCAGGGACATTACCAGGGTTCTGATATAAAACAGTACTAAATATAATACTACTAATAATAAATCTATTAAAACATTAACAGTGAAATAAAGCAACTATCTTGATTATTTTTGTTTTTTAACTGTAAATACGTCTTGACATCAGCACATTCCTAAATACACAATGTTAAATTAAATGAGGTTATTCAATGTTCCTTTCATGAGCTAACCACAAACATATATATAGATGCAAGCAGGGAACAGAGATAAGTCCTACAGAGGATGCATTACTAGCAACAAGCTAAACTGAGTTAGGCCTGGATCCAAAAAAGGTATTTAGACTCCTAACTTCCTTTGAAATCAGTGGAAGTTAGGAGCCTTACTTTTGAGGATCTGGGCCTTAATGTCTAATTCAGACTAAGGGAATGTTTTCTGATCAAAGCATGAAATGTTTGTATGTAAGCAAAAGACATCCATGAAAATATTCTGCCTCTCTTAAAGAATAATAATAAAATAGCTTGCTGTTAAACTATATAAAGCCATCCAGGATTAGTCAATAAGCAAATATTTCCAATGCACATTGGTTGTAGTATGGAGGCATTATCAGCAGCTCTGTAGTTAACCCTGTGTGTAGATTTTCAGTTGAAGCAGTTTCAGATGTTATGGGAAGAAAACAAATGTTTGTTACAAACATACTGACACCACAAACTCTGAGTACAGATGTAGGTTGCAGCTTTCAAAGGAGCCTACAGGAGCCTTGTGCCCAAATCCCTCTGAATGCCAATGAGATTTGGTTGTCTAATACTTTTAGGCTCCTTCAAAAATCCCAGCCTTCATCTTTTGTAAAGTTGCTAGGAAGAGTATTCAGCAGCACCAGCCAGGCGAAACCGAGAGGCCCCAATCTGAATACATTTCATGCACCCAGCACAAAGTGGGTATGGGTGAGTTACAACCCTTGGTGATGGGGTGGGGCCTTCCAGCTCCTCTCCCTGACTGGGAGAGCAGGGGTCCCAGCGCCTCTCTGGGGCTTGTTCCGTCCCACACCAGACGGGGGAGCTGGAAGGCACCAGCACCGCCCACTCGAAATCTGCCTCCTGCTAAGGGGGTCAGGCTGGCGGGCTCCGCTCCCGCTGGGGGGGGGGTGCCCCGATCTCCTGGCTGCTACAAAGAGGGGCTGGTGCAGTCACTTGGGGAGGCCGCCTGGTGTCTTTCGCCCCCACGCAGAAAAGCCCTCGGCGCCCGCTTTCCCCGACGGCCTCTCTCAGGGCGAGCCCCGCACAGGCGCCCGGGCGGGCCGGTGTTACGCCGGCAGAGCGGCGCAGGCCAGGCGGGGAGGGCGGCGCTCGCCCCCGGGCAGGCGCGGGGGACTGAGGACGCTGCTTGCGGCGCCCGCTCTGCTCCGCCAGGGGGCGCCCCAGCCCAGGGGATCGGGAGCCGGCGAACCCCGCCCCGGGCCCCGCTTCCCGCCGCGGCAGGAAGGAAGGACGAGCGGGCCTCGGCGCTGGTGCTGCCGGCGCGGACCCACAGTACGTGCCGCGGGCCCCGCTCCACGTGGGGTGCGGGCTGGGGGAGCCCCCGTGGGGAAAGCGGGGCTGGCTCCAGGGCGAGGATCCAGACACCTGAGGCGGGTACGGGGGGAGAGCTCCCAGTTCCCAGCCGTGGCAGCCCATGTACCTGAGCCGTCGGGAAGAGGGGATCCCCCGGACCCGCCCCGGGGTGGTGACGCCGTGGGAAGAAAACAGAGAAATCCCTCTCTTCCCCCTCCCGCCTGGGAACTCAGCTGGTGAATGGGGGGACACCCCCTCCCCAAAACCATCCTGTGAACTGGGGTGAAGCGATGGCGTGGGGAGACCACCCACCCCTGTGTGAAGTGAGGGGGGGGGAAGGACCCCCCCGCAAGCCCCTCTCCCTAAGCAAGGGGTGTTTGGGTGAGGAAGAAAGAGAACCCATTCTCACCCCCAAATGAGAACAGCGGCCCCCATGCTGGGCTCCCAGTCGCAAGGTGGCTGCCCCACCATTGTTCTGCAATTATTTTTATTACCGTAGCAATTAGGAGCACTAGTCATATACCAGGGCCTTGCTGTGTTAGGTGCTGTGCAAACATAGAGCAAAAAAGATCGTTTGATGCATCAAACAGCCATACTTAGTAAGCTTAAAACTGCTAGTAGTTGGTGGCACGCAACCAGGATTCATCATTGAATTTGGTCCGCTGGTTGGATCATTAGCTTCCCTGGCCAGAGCCGGGTACTGAGGGGCAGCACGACATGAACGCTGATCCGTGCCCTCTGGTGCTAGGTACTGTACACAAACACACAATAGAAGACAGGTCTTGCTCCAAAGAGCTTAAACTCTAAAAGACTACTCATTTCCTTCTCACATGCACACTACTTCCTACCACTGACCTGCCAATGCCCCAAGGTAGGACAAAGACCCAAAATAAGGCATACCAGTGATAATTTATTGTTCACTATTACAGATGGGTTTTTTTAAATGTAGTACAAATTGACCTTTCGGTTTTTCCAAATCCAAACATTTGCCCTATAAGCCACTGAAATGCACCAGGTATCCTGGATTTCAAAGCAACACCCTGTATTCTCAGATGCATATAGGACAGAGGTCCCCAAACTGTGGGGGCACCCCTCCAGGGGGCACGGAGAAACATTCAGGGAGGGCACGTGGGGCCTGCGCCAGCCCCAATGGGGGGTAGGGGGGGGAGAGTGCTACCCAGCCCCGCTCCCTGCAGTCCCAGCCCCACCTGCAGCCCGTTCCCGGCCACAGCTCCACTCCCGGCCGTGGCCCCCTGCTCCCAACACTGCCCCGTTCTCAGCTGAGGCCCCAGCTGCAGCACTGGCCCCGCATCCGGCCCCCTGACCATGCCTCCCGGGGGGCGGAGGGGAGGGAGTTTGGGGACCACTGTTATAGGAGTAGAGCCTTAGGCTCTTGGGACCTGGTGAACTGTGACTTTATACATGCTACTGCATGGTCTGCATGAAGTTTTTGTACCTATTTAACTATTTCAGTGTGTGTTTGTGAGGCAAGGGGTTGATTTTCTACCAAAACAGTTAAATGAGTGCAGTCTCTAGCCTGGGCACAGCTATACCATTATGACTTATTCCCCTTTCCTTACAGCAGTAAGCTGTACCTGCATAAGCACCTTTATACCAGTATAACTGCATGCATATTAGATGGGTCTCTATCACTCTAACTATGCTGGCTGGATAACAGCCAGGTCCTAACTGAGTCTCAAAAGTCAACCAGAGAACATCTTTAATATTTGTCGATATTCACAAACAGGAATGTAGTCTACAGGAGTTTTTGTTATATATTGGTGCAATCAATTGGCTCTGTGTTGCACATCTACATTTCTACAAGAATTATAACTAGGCCATGTTGATATTAAAATTAACATAGGTAGTGATGCCGAGTGGTAATTAATCGGTAGCTGAGTGACAGAAAAGGCTGAATGGATTTTATTTAAACATCTTCCTGCCCCCAGATTTTCTAGCACTAGAAAGGTAAAATGATAATTTGAAAAATATAAACTGTTGGTGCTACAACATGGCATTTTGTTCTCACCGAGTTCTTGGAATATGTGCAAAACATTTACAGCAATTTCAATATTGGTTCAAGTCATTGGTCCATCTGTTCCTTTATCTGGCTATGAAAAAAGTTAGGGGGAAATCATTCCTGACCCACACAAGTGATTGATGTATTCCCTGAAATAAAAGTTGTGATGACTTATTCAATAGTTGTCTTATTTTGCAGAGCTACAAAAGTTAATGTTGATAAGATTCTCCAGTCCTCTCTAATTTTATTGACTTCAGTGACTTTCTTTGACAGTAAATTCCACAGATTGACTGTGGGATTTGTGAAGAAGTATTTTAATTTGTTCTAATTCCTCCCCCTCTTAATTATATCATGTTCTATGTTCTATTACTATGCAACAGTGTGAAAAGAAGTGACTGACTAGCTCTTGCTATGCTCTTCAAAATTTTGAATAACTGAAAATCCCCTCAATCCCTTTTTTTTTTTTAATTTATTTTTTATTTATTTATTTATTTTGGCTAAACAGACCGGTTTCTTCAGGTCTTGCCAGACTGAACACTAATACTTTTGTCGACTGTTTGTAGGTCTTTTCAAGCTGTGCAATATATTTCAAGTGTGGCTACCAAAACTGTGTACAATACTCCACCAGGGGGCTGTACTCTCATGATGTACAATGTATCATCACATTTTCAAAATACAGCATTCCAGGATCCAATCCTACAGGATGGTGATCCTTCTCAACTTAACTTCAGTGGGACTGAGTGATGTACAACGCTTTGTGGGATCAGACCTGTACTCAGTTATAGCTTTCTTCTCACTACTGCTTGCTCACTTCAAGTTTATAAGTAGATGGGCATGTTTTGATGAATTGCAATACATCAGTATTTAATATAAATGGGGAATTATTTTATGATTTGAAAGGTTAGGAAAGGAGATAATACAATGTATCAGAAATGGACTGTTTGTCCTGTGTACAGTGCCTAGCACAATGGGGTCCTTATCCATGACTGGGACTCCTAGACGCTGTGGTAATACAAACCGATAATTATGTGGCTGTGATAACAAAAGGGGTGGGGTGGGAACTTTCTGTGCCAAAGCCCTCCAAGCAACAGAACATTTTAATACACAAAAAGGGACCAAAGTATTCTTTGTCCATGCATTTTTTTATTGCTGCCTGCAGCCTTAAAATCTTTTACTTTAGGCTCCAATCCTGCCAGATGGTCTCTGCCAGCAACCTCCCCATCCCTGCAATGAGCCATATTCAGTGACACTCCACATGGGCACCAGGGTTTGCCAGCACAGATCATTTGGCAAGATTGGGGCCTTAATTTTACTACCATGAGTAGTCCCATTGATTGGACTATTCACTGTAGTAAAGTTAAGCACATGTGTAAGTGTTTGCAAGATCGGGCCTTACCTTTAATGCCAGTATTGCAAAATTCTCCCCATGCAATTGCCTGGGGATAGTAATTTTTGTATGAGGAAGTAAATTTTTTCATCACCATTATGGTAAGTGCGGACAAGTAGATTTTTTTGCCTGGGCTAATATATTTCCTTGGTAATTTTACAATGGTGATTCATACCTTTTAGTAATTTTCTTCATTCAAAAGTTAAGTGGTGTTCCCAGTGACATTAGACTACTTTCGGATTGTGTAGCAACCTCCGTATTTTAATTTTTAGGAATTGAAAAAAGTAGAGCCAGAATGATTTTATTTATTTTTTGCTTCTTGTGTGATTTTGATAACCTATTGAATTTACTTTTGAAGAGCCATTTTGCTTTTTGATTTCTTATTAATTATTTCTTTGTTGTTTGTATTGTGGTGGTACCCAGTATCAGGACTTTCCTGTGTTAGGTGTTATATTTCTATAAGAGTTCATAAATAATTTATGAAAATTAATTTTTTTCTGTTTGCTAAAGTGTATGTTTATTTCATGTTCAGTAAACTATTACATTTTAATGGATTTGCTAGGGCGTTTTCACCCCCTCAAAAAGCTCTCTGTATGTCCTTCTGAATATGGTGTGTATTTTTAGTCATTTATGGTATTAAAAACAAAGTCTCTTTATGTTAGGCTGTGAACCTGATTTTTGTTTATCCTTAAGGCAGTTCAGAGAATGTTTTGGTATGAAAAAGTCATAGACAGACACAGAATTCTAATGTATGTAATTTTTCTAAACTACAGGCAGAAAATGAGAGAGGCAGCTACAATAGAGTTTACATTTTAAATGTGAGAAAGAGCCCTTTATATTTATTCCAGTGACCTTGACAGTACCCAGATGTGCACATGAAAGAAACGAAAACCACACACAC